CTTCAATTCTTTAGATTGTAAGCTGTCCTTCACATTGTTGAGAGTAATACTATCCCTGCCATACAACATAGTATCAATAAAATTCTCATATGATTTTGGCAGAGAGCATAACAAAATAATAGCTAGATCCTCATCATCAACTTTAACTCCAATACTCTGTAGGTCCAAGATAATTCGGTTAAAATTATCAAGATGATCTCTCACAGACATATTCTCAGACATCTGCAAGGTATAGAGACGTTGCTTCTGATACAACCGATTGGTTAGGGATTTCTGCTGGAATTTATCTTCCAACATCTTCCACATCCCTGCAGCCGTTGTCTCTTCACCTACCTCTCGCAAAACCTCATCAGTCAAACTCAAGAGAATCAAACTGTGCGCCTTTTCCAACATCGCTTTCTTATCATCATCAATCATAGTTATGGGTAATTTATCTGCACCCTCCAATGCTGCAGCGCAACCCTGATGCACAAGAACCGCTTTCATCTTCAATTTCCACAAAGTGAAATCATTCGATCCATTGAATTTATCAATATCAAATTTGTACGAAGACATTGCATTTCTTCATATCAGGCCCTAGTGTAACCTAGAGCTCTGATACCAATTGTTATGACAATATGTAAAAGAAAGAGAAGAGAAAGAAGACGACACACAAATTACGTGGTTCAGTCAGTGTGACCTACGTCCACGGGCAGTTCAAGAGTTTCTTATTTCTGAATGAATAGAGATATCTAATACAGATGCCTTTTAGCCTTATTATAACAAGGATAAAATATAACAGCCTCATTACAACCCAAATAAGATTGAAATAGTAACAGACAAAATTATAAATTCAAGGCATCTCAACAATTACATATAGTCCTTATGTGTTTTTTAGCTAGGATGGCTTTTCTATTGGCGATTTTGACCAAAAGAGTAAAAATTTGAGGACTTAAAATTAAAGATCTTTGGGAAGACACTTGGAGACTATTCTTATTTCTTACACCAATTCATGAAAACTTTTTGAATCATTGATGAGAGATTGTCATATATGCGTGGGCGTGAAGACAGCTCCAAATCACTCTATCAGAGAATATCACAGCAATGTGGACGCCCCCGACCTTCTTAAAAATTTCTTGCACCTTCGAGATAGCGGTGTGATGATACTAGTGGAATTTCTCTTATTACATACGATTTTTCTTACGAATTTTTATGAAAAATTTGCGGGAAATGTTGTTTCTACAAATTTTTCTGCGAATTTTTATCTGTAGATAATACTTTCATGGATAGCCTACGGTGGGCGCCAAAATGTTCCGGCCAAAGGGTGGACTAGGGTTTTTCCTAGATCGTGCCTTAGAGCCAGAGCATTCAAAAGTGTAATCTGCCTTCTCAACTCTAGGGTTTTGGGTTTTATAGTATGTCGTTCGTGGACCTCTTAGCCCCCGAGAATGGCGGGATTTTGCTAACCGTTATTATCTTGATGGCGCGGGAATAAAGGGAACAGGTTTAGCCAGGTTCTGACCGACAGGGACCATGCCGAGGGCCCAGTCAGGTTTTGACCGACAGGGGCCATGCCGAGGGCCCAGTCAGGTTCTGATTGATTGGGCCCATGCCGAGGACCCAATCGGATTTCGACCGAGTAGTCTTTTCAGCCCACATAAACGAGAGGGATCGAGGTGTCGAGAGAGATCCGACAAGGGGTGCTCCCGTGTCAAGTCCGCTGAAAACCGAGCTCACCTTTGGGAAGCTGGTTGAGTCACTAGCGAAGCCACCGTACGCATGTCCACCCTCTCGGTATCCGACCGTAACCATGAAGGCTTGAGGGAGTCGATATCCGACCATGACGGTACACATATAAATATGTCAAAATTTAAAAAATTACATGTCTGTCGACGTTAATTATATAGTTTTTTAATTACTTGAAAAGTCATACACTTTTAATTAAATAAATATTGACTTAACATATTTACTATCTTAACTTTGTTATTTATTAGTGCAAAATGTTAGTTTCCCATTCAATGTATTGCATCTACCAACAAGTCATTTGATAAGCTGAATTCAACTTCATCGTTTTAAATAAAGTTTTAAATTCAAGTTGAAATAAAAAAACGTGGTTAGAAAAAAGCTTATTAAAAAATTAAAGATGAACAACTAAATTTATACACTACAACACAAATGGTATTTAGCAACATTTGAAAAATGTTACTTAATTATATATAAATGTTGCTAATTTGTTTTAACAACATATTATCAAATGTTGTATATATCTATGTTGCTAAAGACTTTTAGTAACATTTTTGCATAATTAGGTAACATTTTAATGATGTTGCAAAGATTTTGTTAATCTTATAAAATAATATTAATTTTAATTTAAATATTACTATCAATTATTATATTTCTATGTCTCCTAAACTTCTAGGAATTCCTTAAGTTTTTAGAGAAAGACATTTTTATAGTTATAGTCACCACTAATTATATATAGAATATCAAATTTCATTTATCCTAAATATAACTATATGAGTATATATACTCTTTATGAGTCATTAATCTGTTTGATGTGGGACTTTAATTATGGGTTATAATTAGATATAAGAAAAATATATATTTTTTTATTTGATGTGAGACTTTGATTTTAGAAGCAATTATAGTAACATTTTTCAAAAAAATATTGCAAAATAACTTACGTAAATTTTTTTTACTCAATATGGGACATTGATTTTGAAAACAATTAGAAAGAATAATATTGAAATACAAAATGGTACTCTATCTATAATAACATTTTTCAAAAAAATGTTACAAAATAATATATTTATATAATATATAGTAACATTTTAACAAATGTAAACAAGAAAATATTGTTAAAAAATTAAAATACAGTACTATCAACAAAATCGAAATCAATAAATGTGTTAAATAAAAAAAAGTAGTTGCAATAGAGTTTATGGTATCCGCATAAAGCCAATTTTCAACAATTATTTATTTCACTATCCAATACCTTATATGGTCCATTCTCTGATGCCTTTTATCAATTGTGGCAATTAAGTCGAACAAAGTAAGGCTCGCATGCATGACCATCATTAATGTAGAGAACAGCCTAATAGTCGCAAATAACTAGCTCAGAAGAGTCTTGAAGGTTTTCTTTTGTTCCCCAACTAAACAAATACGCCAAAAATAATTGACAAGTAAACAAAGTGTCAAAGTCATTCTTATTTAAACCCTACCATCCACAAACTACAGGACAAAAGTCCCACAACTCCAAAATACCAAACCAACCCTCAATCTTATATCCTCATTCCACCTTTTTCACATCAATCATGTAATTCCTTGCACCCATCGCAACTAACAACTCTCAACTTTGTTTATGTTGGTTTGGGAATATGACACCCTTTTATCTTGAATATAAATAAATAAATAATATAACAATTTTACTAAACTAAAAATTGAAAAAATAATTAAGTTCTTTTTATCAATATTTTGTAAAAAGAGTTCCAATGCTTTATTCATAACTTCTTTTTTAAACAAAGGAAAATATAGAAATTAATATATAAAACAAAATGATGCACAATCACCTAATTTAATAAAGTTTAGATAAGAAAACATAATGAAATATAAATTTAACAATTTGTAGACTTGATTTATACATTAAAAAATTTTAATTTAACGGTTGGATTGTTGAAATTTGATATAGAACATGAGTTTATTGAATAAAGTAAGTTTAGGTAAACTTACCTTAAAGTAAGTCTATTTACTCTTATAACAAGTATAATTATTGCAATCCATCCACAAGAAGAAGAAAAAATTCATGGGTAAACTTATAGAAGACAACACAACAGGTACAAAAGTAAGTACAATTATACTATCAAAATCAACATCTCAACAATTATAGAATCAACACAACGACTCCTATTAACAACTTTTAATACGTCAACACCACATATGAACAACACAATACAACTCATCAATATTTTTAACATAAACAACATAACAACATCTCAACTTACAACACAACCATACAATTTATCAATATATCAACCTAGCATATGAACAACACAACAATTGTATGTATTGTCATGCATTCAACTAAGAGATCTCTTACAATACAGGTGAACAGTTTAAGTAGTTTGATCCTACCAAATCAACTTAACAACGTAGTCTTTTTGA